GCCAAGCAACTACACTCAAGATGTGGTTCTGTGGGGCCTCGAGCTCATTCTCTATGAGCTTGTCCGGGAAGTGTTCCGTTCTCAGAATACCTTAGACAGCGTGGGTGTGTCGAGGGAGGCTCAGGGTTTGATCATTTGGATGTTGGAGGTTGATCCGGGCAAGAGGCTGACTGTGGAGCAACTGCTTATCGTAAGAACACTAGCGAGCAGCCTACCAACCTTGCAGGATTATGTAAGACCAATCACAAAGAAATTATTTCTAAATTATGAAATCCCCATATAAAATCAAAGATGTTCAATTGCCATTTGGTTTTATCACGAAGTTTTGTTTCCCGTTGCTATTCATGTAGCAAAATGTCAGAATCAGCTTGACTTGTATGAACAAAACATACATATGATTATTTATCGTGGCAAGTTGCAGAACACCTTGTGTCACTTGTGTGCAGCAAATGCCGAGTCAAGGCATTCCAGGGAATCTAAAGAATATGTAATGTTGATCACTTTTGAGTTTCAAAATTGCTGATTACGCCTTTCGCTTTTGTGGCCTGCCTGCCTCGAGTCGGCAATCTCCATAATCAAAGAGAATGCAATGGCAGCGGAAAACGGGCGTTGCTTCCACTTCTTTCTCAGTATGGCATGGTGTCTAAATCAGGCTACTGAGCATCCACGCTTCTGGCAATCCTTCCATAGCAAAGGAACATCTCCATCAAGAAAAAGTGAAGAGAAAACTTCCCAAGCTCGAAATGAACTATACAAGTTTTTAAATACCTGGAACCACACCAGCAAAAATGCCGTCGTCGTCCCCAACGTGAGCAAAATCCGCGAACAACTGCAAATCGAGCTCACATCCACGGATCATCTGGGTGATATGCCAAGAACTTGGCTGTTTTGGATGCACCTATACAGGCAAGAACAAAATCTAGAGAAAAAACGAAGAAGAAAGATAATCTTACCAGTTGACTTTGAGGCCCTTGCGGGAGAATCCATGGCGGCCTCTACTCCAATCGGCAGAGCACCACTGCGCCAGGGCTTGTAAGCGTGATGCGTGGAGTGGCCTTTGGAGAGTGGACAAGGTCAAGGCGCTGGAGGCTGTCAGGAGGAGGAGAGAAAGCACCACCGTGATCTATGCCCAACGGCGCCGCTGGTGGCGCCGCCGCCCACTCGTGGTGTTGCTGCAGCCCACGAACTATCTATCTATCTCTCTTCTGTTTCTACATCGAGAAGCATGAGACATTATGTAATGCAAGGCATGCAGTTTCAAAATTTCCACCTCCTCACCATCTTCCTCCCTCCGCCCCTGCTATCAATTCTTGACTTGGCACCATGCCAGTCGTGACTTTCACTCGCTTTGATGAGATCAGACGCCGTCGGAGGAGTTTTCCACGCCACTCGAGTCCGCGTCACTCCAAAGACGCGAAGCCAAGGAGGGCGACGCTCCTCAAGCGCGGGCACAGCCAGGCAAGCTCGTCAGCGGTGGCGGACGATCACGGCCCCGATTCCACCTGGGTGGACGTGAAGGAGAAGCGGAGAAAGGACAAGAAATCCAAGAGCAAGAAGAATCCTCCAACGCAGGGAGAGACAGCGACTTGCTAGTTAGAACAAACAAAAGCTTTTGGATGTTTTACCACAAGAAATGAAATTCTTTTACACTTTTTGTAGGCGATTACCACACGAAATGGAATTCTTGTGTTCTTTCTTCACTTTTTGTATAGACTGTACCCATACCCATTAGCAAGAAAGATGATGGCGAAAATAGTTCCTCTCAGTGGAATCCTTTGGAACAACTTTTTCAAGGAAGTAACGAAGATTAGAATTCCAAGAAGTAAAAATGCACCCACGGTTGACCACGTTGCGATCATGTTGCTAACGTCGTAGACAATGTAGAGGAGGCTGAAAAAGAGTGGTGTCATCATCACGGACAAGCTCATAAAGAAGATCATCCAAATAGAGATCATGAGCTTTTTGACCTCAGAAGTGTTTCCTTGTTCATTCTCACCGATCGCTATTAGACACCATGCTAATCCAATCACTGAGATGGCTGCAGCGAGAAGAAAGTGGAAGCAGCGCCCCTTTTCCACTGGCGTTGCATCTTCTTTGATGAGGGAGATTCCAGATTGGAGGCATGTAGAAGCCACAAAAGTGAAAGGCGTAATCAGCACTTCGACAAGCCTCAATGCTTCTCTGCCAGGGCTAGCATTAGCTTCTGCAATCCTTCCCACTTCTTCCATGAAGCTCCCCTTCAAGCTGCCGATTTTGTCGAGGGGGGTGATAAGAGCGTCACCCAGCAATATTCTTTAGATTCCCTAGAATATCTTGACTTGGCATCTGCTGACACAGCAAGCCTATGAGTTTGTCAAATTATAAAAAGAAAACCTAAGATTAACTTTAAAATATTGAAATATATAAGTACCTAAGTCAAAGTTTCTAAATTTTATGATTTCTAAAGCTATATTGCTTTACTATAAACTGCAACATTCTAAAAAAACGTAAATGTGAATCGGATAAAATAAGCTCAAACATTTTGATAGTTAGCCATTATTAATGTATTTTGGCAAAAGATTTCTCTTAAGTGCCACCTATGTAGATGCTTGGAGCATGTGGTAAACTCACCACCCTATGCTCCACTACAAGTGCCACTGACGGGAGTGTTGTTTTATAGATGTTATAAATTTGACACTACATTATTTTGTGTAAGTCACTAAAAAGAACAATTTGAAAAACAATTTATTATGGTTCAAAATATGAAGGGAAGGTGTTCATAAATAAAAATGCATTTTTTTTTATTCAGTTAAAGGTGCCCCACCTAGGCATATGCATCTAGCAGAGGTCTTAAAAATTTTAGGATTACATGTTTTTTGAGTTTAAATAGTATTAAGCTTTATGTCCTTTTAGGAATTTTGATTTCATGAGTTTATATTTGGTATTAAAGAGGTCTCAAATTTGACTATATTAGTTGGTTAGAAGAATCATTAATATTGATATCTAGCAATTTAATTTTTTTTGGTTGGGTTAGATTTAAGAAGTAGGGTGTTTAGAGAGTTGAGAGCCCTCTTAACTTCCATTCATGCCCTCAAACAATTGTAGTTCAAATATAAAGAGAAAGGGTTTATGAATAAAAATAGTGATTAATTTTTCCATTCTACTTTAGTCATTTAACCACACCTTCAACCACTTGGAGGAGTCTAATTTACTACCTCCATAAGTCCAATTCAGCGATTTTGGGGCTTGCTAGCCCCGAGAATGGCATCCAGGCACACTTGACTTTTGCACTTGGTACAAGTGCCACACGTGCTAGATGCCAGATCCGGCACTCGAAGGTACCACCGACATCTTTGCGCGTTTCGCTAAAGACCAGGCCCAGGCTCCGTCGCCAGATTCAGTGGTCCAATACCACATGTATCATAGTCCTGTCTCTTTAAGACTTGGCCATCTATCCATGAGTGATCATCGTATATCCACTCTTTAACATCTTTAGGATGCCCACAGATATGGAGAACAATCTTCCCCAATATCCCTGTTTTAGTCCCCACTAAATCCCTTTTGCCCCATGGCCGTGTTTCTGCCATTAATACAAGGCTTGTAAGCCCGACCTCTAAGTCCCATTGTCCTCTAGGGATTCCTCACTGTGTGACCATATCTTTAGTCACTGCACTAAAGGACTACTCCTCTTTTTTTCACAGTCTGGGACTTTGGGACAACATTTCGGAACACCATGGCCTTACACAAGCCTCATGGGTACTCTCCCCACCTTCCACCTTTGGATGCTCTAGCCATGGGCTTAGAGCGAGGTTCTGTTGAGCCATACTAAGTATCCAAGTAGGTAGTGCCACTCACACTTGAACTGGGAGCATTGACCATTCAATCTCCCAGGGGAACTAGAGCTGGCTCTTGAACACCTCATTAAGTTACCCCATTTGATACTCCGTATTCACTCTAGCCTTAGACTTCCTAGTGGTTATCCTATCACCCAACACTTGGGTACATCCTTCCTAGGCCAAACTAGCTCCAAATTGGCTCCACTAGGTCCAACTCCACACTCTCCCTACTATACTTTTGGAACCCCCTATAGGCTCCCCCCCCCCAAGGGAACGATTGCTTTGGGCTTTCACCCAATAGCCTGTATTAGTATTCGAACTTGGACTTGGACTCGGACTGGGTCTCAGTTTCGGTCTTGATTCCATCTCGGACTCCATCTCAAGTCCATCTCAGATTCCATCTCAGACTCTATCTCAGATCCATCTCGGACTCCATTTCGGACTCCATCTCAGATCCATTTTGGACTCCATCTCGGACTCCATCTTGGGTCTATAAGCTCTATTTCGTTAAAGTGGGATTTATTCAGTAAAATGGGAC